GTGCGCACGGAGGGTGAGGCTCGGCACTGGGTGTTCACCGAAGAGCCAGCCCTTGCTGGGCAGGACAGAAGGCTCTGCGTGGGCCCTCCCCGGTTTAATATCTCTCTCCGCGGCTCTTCACACCTCCGCCCATCATCCCTTTATCGCCCTGTCATCTCTCTCTTTCTCCCCGCGGCCGTGTCTGCCCGTGTGTGCCCTGCCGGCCGGCGGCGGGTGCTCCCGGTACTCAGCGGAAACCACTGCACCGCTAGGCTACGAGCGATGAGTGGCATCTGGGCTGCAGTCTGCCAAGGCTCAGCGCCGGCAAGCCTGTTCACCTGCAGCTCCCGCAGTCCCTGATCCGGGGGGGGTCTGCTGTGCTTAGAGCCACAGGCGGCACACGCATACTCTGTGCCTGCTCTGCGCTCCTTCTGAATAATCCGTTTCACTTCTAATCCACTTTCAAAAAACAAAACCCGTCTCCGTCAGGGTGCTCTGGGACTGCCCTCTCCACAGAGGCAAATTGCCTGCTGAACAACAGAGAGCCGTGGGTGTTGATCACCCAAAAGATCTGTTAACAGAGGGATGGGTGCATGTGAATGGAGTGTTTGAAAAGTGCAGTGACTGAAAGTGTGAGTGTGTGTGTGTGTGTGTGTGTGTGTGTGTGTGTGTGTGTGTGTGTGTGTGTGTGCGTGTGTGTGCGTGCATGTTTGTGTGTGTGTGTGTGTGTGTTGTGGGGGGCTGTGATTGAGTGTGCTTGCGTGTGTGTTTTCATGGTTTTATTGAGCTGTCCTGTGTCTATTTGTGTGCCTCTGGGGGATTCCGAATGGGACTGTTGCTCTGTTGCTACATCTATCTGCATCAATAATTCTATTCTCTGTTTCTTGATCTGTTAGCCTCTCAGGACAAATTGTAGACAGTCTATTCTTTTGGTCCTGTTCCTTTTTCTTTCTTTCATATTGTATTCTTTGCTTAAATCTTGACAGCTTTGTCCTTTCTTTCACAAAAATATCAACCATTTGTCATTGTGAAGAAGCTGGTCAATACTTCACAGAAAGGTTTTCTTTAGAAAAATACAGGAATGGAGAGATCTAAAAATTGACTACAAAAAGACAGGTTAAAGTGGTAAAAACAGGTACATATTAAAGGGGTTAAGTGGTTAAAATGTGGACTAAAATGTATCTTAATTTTAGAAAAACAGGACATAAAAACAAACACAGCTCTCCCTAGTTGTCTCCTTGCACTTCTTTCTCCTCTCACACCCTACCTCTGATTTTTATCATCTGGTGGGGTGATTTATGAAGCAAGCAGTTAACCAATTATCCTTTCCAGCTACACACACATTCTCATACTTTAAGGCTCTGTCTCTTTACAATACATTACATTATTCATTTAGCAAATTCTCTTTTCCAGAGCAACTTACATAGGTTACAATTTACACATTACCCGTTTATACAGCTGGATATTTATTGAGGCAGTTCTGGGTTAAGTGCCTTGCCCAAGGGTACAGCAGCAGTGCCAAAGCAGGGAATCAAACCAGCGACCTTTTGATTATGAGCACTGCTCTTTACCACTATGCTACGCTGCTGCCCAATATATGCATGAATGCATATTTTGTAATTTTTGACATAGTGTTTACAGAATCAGCTAATATTTCTTAAAATTTCTCAAACACTAGTTACTGGCTGTACTGTTGTTCATAGCTAAAAGTCAAAATCTGTTTGGTTCAAAAGCCCAGTGGTTGCCTACAGCCTCTAGTTTTATTTTTGTGTCTGCTTTACAACAAAATGGCCACTTAGAAAATAAAGATTTATTGATTTACTGAATACAAAGCGTTTCACTTTGGTTTGTTTCAGACCACAGGGGCTTTCTGTTTCTTTTCTATGCAATTTGTAGTTATGGGATGCGTTTCTTCATTTTAAGTGAGGGGACATAAATGTCCATAATGAAGCTTTCTGCCTGTCTCCTGGCCATGAGTGAGTGGCCCATTATGGCCACACAGTAAGACGCAGTTTGGCTCACCATATAGACGGCCATCTCCTCTCACTCAGCATATCTCCTTTATTCAGACAGGTAAATACAGGTGGAGAGTGGATGCCATGAAAACAGAGAGCCCCCAAATATGGCACTAACGGCCATGAAGTCCCAAAGCAAGAGGGTGGAGGTTGAAAGCACGAACAGGACCAGGAAAAGCCCAGATGATAGGGTAATCAAATTAGAGTCTGGCTTTGCATGTTGGGCTGAACTCATGACAAGTATCTGAGCCTATAGAAAGGCTCTGTACTGCATTCTTTTGGTGGTGTTCTACTTGCAAGCAAAGACATCTGACCTCTGACCTTTCATTGCACTCTAAAATTCTGAAGAGGGAGAGTAGTAGAGAAATTCATAATCATGCTAACACCAAATGCTTATCACGAGGGCCTGGAGAAGGACTGATTGCTGTGGTGGAAAATTAAGATGTGAACATCCGGTGGAACATTCAGTTTACATTTTGGTATTTAATTAAACTCATTGAATACTTCCTTTGGGTGTGGAATTAAACAAAATATCTGGGTATTTTTTTAAATTCATTTCTTTGATTCTCACTAACCCAGAATTCATGAATGCATACTTTGCAATCTTTGGTACCGCACTGTTTTTCAGGAGTTTGCCTTGATTCCCTTGAAGGAGCCAGGGAATAATTTTCCTGTCTTTTACCTTCTTCAAGGTCTTTTTATATTATAAAATCCCTTCAGTGTGACGATATGATTGTAACTTGTGCCATTCTAAATAAATACAGATAGACAGACAGACAGATAGATAGATAGATAGATAGATAGATAGATAGATAGATAGATAGATAGACAGACAGACTGAGGGATAGCAGCAGACATTATGCCTATAACTATCATCCTTATTACCATCATCATCAGCAGCAGAATTACTACAATTATTTTCTTCATCATGATCATCATGATTATCATCATCATCATCATCATCACTATCAGCACCACCACACTTTAACCCCACTTTTGTTAAGAGGGACCGAGCAGTCTCACACACACACAGTGTCCGCATTTTTGTCTCTGCGCAGGCTCTGTCACGGTCAACACAGACTCTTTGTAGCACCAGCCATTAATTTTTCCATTTGAATGTAACCCAGACTCATACAGCAGCCCGCCTCAGTAGGTACGCTCAGAGGGAATCACAGACCACAAGTGCGAGGGGGCAGCTAAAAGCAAATAATTGTGCCTCCTGTCCCCTCTCTAATACGTTATATAGACAGTAATAGCATTACATTGAGCAAAATGAAAGAAGAGGGAACAATCCTGTCACCCTCTGCCCGAAAACAACACAGACCGCTTCTGTCATCATAAATCACTTTCATTAGGCAAGGAACAGGAAACACATGCACATATATTCGATTTGCCTTGATGTATGTGTACATGCATACAGACGGACACGCAATTGCTTCAACAGAAAATGCAGATATCCGGCTCTACTACACGGAGGAACACTATGAGGCAGAACGAACAATGTGATGGCATGGCTTCACAACATTGTGTGTAGGTATATAAACAGAAAATGAGTGAAATGCGATCACTTATAATGTCCCAATTGAAGGATGGTAATGAGCACACGGCAGGCTTTGAAATGATCTTTCTATCCTACGCTCCCATTATTCACAGGAATGTTCAAACCTATTTTGAAATTACCTTTTTGAACCTGCAAACCTTTCCTGATCAATCATTTTTGAATGTATTTCTGGTATCTCTTAGAATGATACACCTGTCACCAGTGTCACATGGACACTAGTGTTCAGCTTATTTCAGTTACCTTATGAACTTCCACTGATACCAGGTTCACCCTTATAGTTGCGTATTCCCACATTATATGACTGCACGACCACACAGCTCTGTCCCGTCAGTCTGAAATGCCTGAAGAGACAGGAAATAAATATGGCACAAACTTTCTAACCTGGGACTGTCTTACCAAGCTTCTTTTCATGGTACTGATTTCAGCACTGCATCTCCGGTCTTCATTAAGCACGGTTTTGTAAAACCTTGAATGCCACCTTGTAGCAGCGTGAGGCTAAAGCTGGACTGGATGAAATGAGGCTCTCAATATGCATAACATATTCCCCAGGAGCGTTTTCAATGTGTTTTGTTACGGTTTCCATATAATTTTTTTTTACTTTTTATTTCAGAACTTCAAGCATGTTTATAATCCATTTTTGTCACGCTCACTTACGTGCATATGTTTAAGAACTGTTGAGCGCAGCTTTTTGTACCAAGCTGTGGTAATTTGTGCCCTTACCTGGCAGTCTTATGCAACGGGGCCTACTTGTGGCGTCAGCCCATGGAGAGGTGGACCGTTCGTGTTCGAGTGAAGTCAGACTGCACTGCCCTGTCCTTTTTCCACACGCTGGATCAGAGCCTGACCAATCAGTGCACAGGCCTGTGGTTGTGTGCGTGACCGTGTCCCCCTGTGTGTGCCGGGCAGGGTCTGACCCTCCTCCACGTGGGTCGCCTGGGCTGCCTGAGGCTGCTGCTGGAGTCCCAGGCCGCCGACGCGAACGCCTGCTGCCCCTGGGGATAGAGGCCCCTCCACATGGCGGTCAGCACTCAGAGCTGGCCGCACTTCCACGCCTGCCTCGCCTACCTGCTGGAGCAGGGCGCCCTGCCCAACATGTACTGCGCCCCCCCTCTCCCCTCACCCCCGCTCACCCCCGCTCCCTCACCCCACTCCACTCACCCCCACTCTCCTCACCCTGCTCCACTCACCCCACTGCACTCACCCCCTCCCCCCTCATCCCGCTCTACTCACCCCCCTCTCCACCAAAACCTCGTCTCACAAATGGCAGCATGTGCCAGTCTCTGTGGTGCAATTGGTTAGCGCGTTCGGCTGTTAACTGAAAGGTTGGTGGTTCGAGCCCATCCAGGGACGGGGAAATTTTGTGGTGGCAGTGTAGCATACTGTTACAACCATTCCCCACATCTTACTCTCTGTCTTGTGATCATGATGACAGACAGCAAAAGCTACGCCCAACGTGGGGCTCAAACCCACGACCCTGAGATTAAGAGGCTCATGTTCTACCGACTGAGCTAGCCGGGCTTGTGATTTCCTTCTGGAGTCACCGCCCCATCGCCCAACCCCTCCTTCGGGGTGAGGCCTCGGGTCATGTGATCAAAACGTCGTCTCACAAGCGACTGCATGTGCCAGTCCCTGTGGCGCAATCGGTTAGCGCGTTCGGCTGTTAACCGAAAGGTTGGTGGTTCGAGCCCACCCAGGGACGGGGAAATTTTGTGGTGGCAGTGTAGCATACTGTTACAACCATTCTCCACATCTTACTCTCCGTCTTGTGATCATGATGAGAGACAGCAAAAGCTACGCCCAACGTGGGGCTCAAACCCACAACCCTGAGATTAAGAGTCTCATGCTCTACCGACTGAGCTAGCCGGGCTTGTTCCTCAGCCCTCTGTGCTTCTCTTTTTGAGTCACTGCCCCATCCCCCAACCCCTCCTTCGGAGGTGAGGCCTCGGGTCGTGTGATCAAAACCTCGTCTCACAAATGGCTGCATGTGCCAGTCTCTGTGGCGCAATCGGTTAGCGCGTTCGGCTGTTAACCGAAAGGTTGGTGGTTCGAGCCCACCCAGGGACGGAGAATCTTTTGTGGCAGTGCACCACAGTGGTTAAGGAGCAGGACTTGCAACCGAAAGGTTGACGGTTCGATTCCCGGCTGGGGCACTGCTGCTGTACCCTTGGGGAAGGTACTTAGCCCACAATCGCCTCAGTGAATATCCAGCTGTATAAACGCATAACGTGTAAATTCTAACCCATGTAAGTTCCTCTGGATAAGAGCATCTGCTAAATGACAATAATGAAATAATGTAATGTAATGGTCTCCACAGAGAGGTCTGTGCAGCTGCTCGCCCGGAGAAACAGCAGACCACTTGTCCTGCACCTGCGTGGACTCACTCCTCTCTCTGTAGGCTCATGCCACGGGAGCTTTTCCGGAACGCTCTTTGTGACGGGCGCGTGCAGGTCCAGGTGTTTGGGAAGTGTTTGCAGGTAGCAGTTATTGAAAGCCAGGTGGGTGGGGTGGGGAGGAGAGAAAGAGACGAAGGAGAGAGAAGAAAGGACACATAATGTACGCCAGCCAGACACAAAAAAAATCAAAATCACAGAGACACGTAATAGCGAGCTTCAAACTCTGGAACACAAGCACAAGAATTGCGCCGTCGAGTCAGATGGAACACACGCACACGCACAGAAAGTAGTCCCGAAGACGCGGTGACACACAATGTTCTCACAACATACCTGTGACATCACAGTTGTTGGAAAGGCCGAGGAGGACAAGAGGCACCATGACAACAAGCAGCAGCCTAACAGCTCAGAGTTCAGAGCGCCCTGCAGCCTCTGGTATAATCTATCCACCTCATTACATGAGTCACCAACAAGCATCTGGGGGACCTTTACGGTTCAGATCAAAGCAGCTGCCCACAGCCTCCTCTCATGTGACCGTATGAAACCCCGCCGATTCTCCCACTTGTCCAAACCCTTTCCTACCTTTTATAACCACTTTCTCTTAAATGGTTTGTTCATTTCCACTTTAATCTCTGTACTGCAGTATCAATGTATTGCACAGTCTGCCTTTTATTGAAAACTTCAGTAGTAGAGAGAGTGACGTCCCATTTGAAATTAACATGCTAAAACAAAGCTAATTTTAGTACCTACAGTATCTACATTCCTGCTTCTAAATCTTACACGCAAATGTTGAGGGAGGTAAATCTTAGTAACAGGTCTGCCCATATAAAATACTGTTATGAAACAGAAATATGGTGATAGAAAAGGGCCAACTTTCCACCTCACAGAAAAAATAATCAAGGCCAATCAGAGATAAGTGCCACTGAAGTAGAACCGTCTCTGGTAGCAGAATGAAATGGACATCAATGACAGGAATGAGGGACATCCAAGAGGATGATGGGTAATTATATTCAGGTGGATGGAAAACAAAACAAAAGCAAATAATAACAGGTGGCTTTTCAGTTTTTGGGGGGTTTATTTCCAGTGCATGAGAAATCTATAAAAACAAGATTTGGAAGGTCATATATGAGAAAACACTTCGCGCTTCGTGTGAGTTGGGAACAGCCATGGTTGACATACAGTATACGACTCATTTTGTGGTGCAGAGGCTCAAACTTAGTGCAAGGGCTTCTGGGAAGCCTAAGAGTAGAACCCATTTTCATACCAATTCAGGGTATTTGCTCTGCCATCTTCCACTTTGTCCATTCACATCAGCGAACACACACAAAAAATCTCCTCCGGTCATATGGTGCAGTATACAGACAAAGCCTTATCCCTACCAGACACCAAAAACAAACCACATGTTTGCATTTACACTGCACACAGAGGTCCAAACAATCATATTCTTGATATACTTTGACAGTTTGGTTCAGAGAGAGAGCGGATGAATAAAGCAGTCTACTACACATAAACCTAGGATCACTCGGGATCGCTGCCAAATGGTCATACTAGGTGAGAGAAGGTGGCACTAGGTGTCACTAGACAGCTCAAGAGGCTGATGTCACTGTAATTTCCTAACAGGTTAATGACCTTCACCTGCTCATCCTTTATGCGACTCAACATATACAACATGTGTCTACAGTATTTCTGCCTAATGCTCCCAGTCTACTTCCACTTTTGGCTGCTGCCCATTTTTCATACAGTTCCATAGTTTTACACAGTTAGTGGAGGTTTACACAGATATATACATACATCTCCACAGAAATAATGATAATAAGAATAATGAGTCCCATTATTATTATTATTATTGTTGAGAATAAGAATAAGAATAATAAAAGCAAAATTTAGAGCTGCTGTTGCTCATAAAACTGGCAGTAAATGTGAAAATAAATTCCCAAAACAAGGATGTGTAAAGTCTAAGTGAATTTGGAATGAAATTTAAAAATTAAATGAAATAAAATATAATGGTAAAAATATATACAGATATTGTAGCATTCCCCTCTAAAATGAAAACTTTTTGCTAATGTTTAATAGTACACATGATTGTTGGGCCCTCAAATAAATATATTCGGTCCTAGAAGTCTTTCCATGCACATCAATGAAAACATAACCTTATGCTGAACCCTTTTAGGAGATTAACTTTCTCACACAGCAGGACATGAGCTAGTCCTTACCAAACTGCTTTTCCTTTCACATTATCCACTTTCCACCAGCAGGACAGTCAGAAAAGCCATCCCAAATTCTGAAACAGAAGCATACCTAGCAAAGAACATCTCTAGTAAAATGTAAAAAGTTCAGTTTAATCTACTGTATGCCTAATAGCAGCATATTGTATAGCAGTGGATTCAAACACAAAGCCAGTCAGCCAAGTCTATTATCTGAAGGTTGCTCATTTTACAATGCAAGAAATTCTATTGCCCAGGACCTGGCACATGGCCATCACTTTTATTACTGTTCAAAGCTCCTCTATGATAAAATATCAATGACACGGTAGGTAAAGTTGCACAGTGTTTTTCTTGATGCAGTACAGTCTGTGCGCTGTCACATAAGAAGGAGTTTTCCTGTAGGGTGTGAGTCAGAGCAGGGAGGGAGAGTAGTTCAGGGTGAAGAGGGCGGTGTGGAAGTTAGGGATATACTGTATTCATCTCTGTATCCATTTTTATGGAACCAGCTGATAATATGGTATAAAATCAGTCCAACATAATTCACATAAATTAGAATATTCTGGGTATATAATCCATCAACAAGATAGAGTAGTTGCCACAGAATATTGAAACATAAAACATCTGCAGTGGCTTGCGGCATTGTTTTAATTTTTACTAAGTGTGTGCATAAAATCCCTCCAAATTGGAAACGGGAAGCTCAGATGATGTGTGACATGAAGCAATGAAGCAAACTGTCAACAATTTCTAATGTAAACCAAGCAAAAATTTGAGCAAGAACATTGAGAGATCGGGGCAGTTCAATAAAGGCGGTCCTTCGACAGAAATCTTTCAGCCAAGATCTGTAACTGTGTAAGGAACCAAAGCTTTGGCATTGTGTTGCTCAAGACAGAATGGAGTGAGACACCTTAAACAAGATATGCTTTAGTGGCTAAAGGGGCTGCTAACCCTCTCTGATCAGAGGTTCCTCACCACAATACACTTTTGATTATATTTACATTTACATTTACATTTAGTCGTTTAGTAGATGTTCTTATCCAGAGGGACTCACAGAAGTGCATACAAAAAGGTTGTAGCAGAGACAATACTAAAACATAGGTGTCTCATTAATACACACCATACATACCAGATTAATTACATACCATAAATACATACCAATTCTGCACCACCAGAAACAGTGAGAGCCCTAAGCGGCTTCACAGTATCTACTCCTGAACTTCAGATGTAAAATTTAGACTGAGGTTCTCACTCTACCAAGCTTCTCACATTGCCCTGAAGCAGTCTTTCCAGCCTTTCATATAATACACATCTGGGAGGAGGGAGAAGAGAGGTCATTGGACAAACAGCTGAACCCAAGGTCTGTTCTTTCACACACACGCACACACACACACACACACACACACACACACACACACACACACACACACACACACACACACACACACACACACACACACACACAAACACAAACAGACACACACAGCTGCCCCCGATGGACAGGAGAGCTTCTGGTACAGGCTGTTCGTCTGCTTGCTCCAGACTCACGAAAAAGCACAGACAGATGAGGCCTCCAGAAGGAACTGCTTGTCAACTGCTATGCGGATGACAAAAGACACACGGACACAAAAGCGCACCGTGTATCCATAGATTGATAAGGGAGTAAAAAGACAGAGCCTGTTCTCTCTGGCAGCTGATCAATAACTGCTCCTTCCTGCCCGTTTTGATACAGGGAGATGCAGGGCTATTGAGGGCAGCCAGAGGTGTCTGATGATAGGCTAATTATACACAGGTGCACACACACACACACACACACACACACACACACACACACACACACGCATACACACATAGCAAAAGCTGTTATTAAAACTCGGCGTTTACAGAGAAGCATAAATATGCATGAGAAGCAGGTGTATTGTCTTTGCGA